TTGGCTTATCTCAAGCCTTTCTTGGGTTCAGACTTGAGAAAGCCATTTAAGCTTGTGAGATCTAGTAGGGTCTCGTTTCAATAATTTAAATATTTTAATTTGTAAGATTTTTAGTTTGTATTAGAAAAAATTAAGTGGATCTGATAATTATAATTTTTTTTTATTTTATCACATTTTTTTTTCTAAGGAAATAGATAATTTATTTTGAAAAATACACTTGTTGACTGAGTTTATGATTTTTAGGTTCACATAATTTTTTCTAATGAATGATATACACAAAAAATCTTATAAAAAGAACAGTTTAAATTATTAAAAAGGGACTCATAGTAGACCCCATTAACCAAAATAACTCTATGAACAACAACATATTTGAATTTGAGAGAAGCGAAACTCTTTGAAAATATTTTTTTTCCTTTCTTTCTTGATAAATGTGATATGATAAAGTGATTACAAATATTTAATTAGTTAAACTTTCAATATATTAATATAAATAATCTACCTGACAATTTTTACAAGATAAATAATTCGTATCATTAAAACAGCCCCGAGATGGGCCCACACTGCACCTCTCACTAGGGGTGTTCGCAGTTTGGTTATGGTCGACAAACTTCCAATCTACCATTTGTCTGCTAGATTGGCGCGGATTGAAAAAAATCAATCTACATCCGTTCTCTGGATTGGCGGATGAGGATTGGCAGATTGACAGATGCATGCAAATTCGGTTCAGCGGTTTAAACTTTTACAAATTTTAAACATAATAAAACAACTTGTTAACATTTTTTTTTTGGATAACAATCCAACTCAACATAATCAAAAGATTATCAAGTAAATTGTCAAATACCAATAATAAATACATATAAGTAAAATATGCATTATCAAAATTATTTCATTACTGTTTTTTTATTCAAAAACTATTTAATTTAATTTTTTTAAAATACAAAATTAAGCTTTATATTTTCCACACAAATATATCAAATATCAACACTTGCCATTTGATAAAAGGATTTCCAGATTGAAAACAAATTGAAAACACAACAGAATATCTAAATTCTTTTTCAATTGAAAATACAAACAGAATATCTAAACAAATTGAAATCTTGTGTAGAAAATTCAGCCAAGCACATTGGATAGGTTCAAAGTGCAGAAGAAGGTTCGTTTGGCTGGAAGATTTAAAAAGAAAATTTGAAAAATAAAAGAAAAAAATAGATAAAATATGAATAAAATATACATATATTTTATCTAATTTCATATACTTTTTCTCTTTTCATTTCTAAATCCATTTTCAAATTCCCAACCAAACACAACATAAGAGAGTAGTAATTTCTCTCTAATTATAGTGAAATTCTTTGTCCGTGTGAACGTAGATGTATTGTGGAATTACATAAATCTCTTTGCCTTTGATTGGGGTAATTATTCAGTATTCCCAGAATATGAACACGTGGTATTCTATAAAATTTTGATTGGTGGAGAGGTGTAAAGGCTGACAATTTATGTTGGGAATGGAAAAATAATATGAGGTTAATTAATTAGTGATTTATTTAAAATATGACCATGTAAAGTTCCGAGAGTATTAAATAATTTCCCCTTTGATGGTGTGTATTGGTGTTTATTTCTGAAGCCAAGCACAATAGGTATTAATTAAAATAAATATGTCATGTCTCAATACGATGAGTCCTTGACTCAGACAATAAACAAATATATTAAATTTTCTTTCTGTAATGTTTAGGACCACATTGGGGGTGAGTCTAAATTCACCTTAAAAGTTTCATTAGATATTTTAATTTTTAATTTTTTTAATATAATTTTATTTTTTTAATTAAATTATCAAAACAGTCAAATCCTAACCTTAACGTTGGTCATCCTGTTCCAACTAGTCCTTGATAGTCAAAGGATTGTTTTGGAAAGTTGGTAAAAATTTAACTTTTGGTTTTTTACTAAGTTTTTTAGCTTTTTTGAAAGTGATTTAAAAAGTTAGTAAAAAGTTGACTTTTTACTTTTTAGTTTAATATTTATTTATAGTGTCAAATCAAATTAAAATGACCAAAATACTCTTACCCAACATAAGAGATTTATTTTTTTTATTTTTTTTATAGGCCCTAATTTATAATTTTAGGGCTGCGTTTTTGGCACTTCCCAAAGGAATTTTGTTGCGTTTTTGGCAGCCACATTTTTGGACATTTTGTCAAAAAAACGTGACTTTTTACTATGTTCCCAAAATGGCACAAAGCAGTCGAGAAGAGATAACACAGTCACTTGAGGGACCAAAAAACAACCAACTCCATAATTGTAACATAATAACATTAACTTACTTTTTTTGTAAGATTAAAGAGAACAAAACTAATTCAGATGGTATAAATATACAAAGATATACAAAGTAAAATATACATTTAAATGTAAAAGAGATGACAATACTATTTTTTCATTTATACAACTAACGAATTTTTGATAAAAAAAGGTATCACTTGTTATATGAATTAAAATCTTAAAAAAAGTCAATATATAATTATACCAAATATATGGGACTTATTATATTTTACTCGAGCCTCAAAAGAGGTCAATGTAATTTGCGCACTATTTTGTTTCACAGTAGCATTACTCTATCTGGCTGATTATTTGCTACCGCAAAGAAAAGTCCATCTACCTCATCACAGGCTTACACATTATTATTATTATTATGGAAAATGTCTCGTAACTCAAATTTTGTGGCTCAAAAGTGGCTCAAATGGCCAAAACGACGTCGTTTTGGCCATTTTTATGTTGTTCTGTACTCAAAACGACGTCGTTTTGACCATTTGAGCCACTTTTGAGCCACAAAATTTGAGCTACGTAGCATTGTCGTATTATTATTATTATTATTACTTTAGATGTATGAGAAAATATCATTTTCCCCTTTAAATTATTACTTGAAAATTAATTTAGCATTCAGACTTCATCTTATTTTAATTTGACACTAAGATTTTTAAAATTTGATCAATTTATTCCCACCATCTCATTCCATCTACAATCAAATGGAATGTGCTAACGTGGTACCAAATTTCATTAGAACTTCATTTGACCTCCAAATTATACCTTAAAAATCAATTAGCCCCCCAAATATTTTTAAAAAATTAAATTTAAATATTTAATAAATAATTTTTTTTACCTCAATAATGAATTTTTTTTAATTTGAACAATATACTTTTTAAAAAAATAATTAAAATTCTCATTTAGAATTGTCATGTCTCAAATTATCACATTTAGAATTCTAAATGAAGTTTGGTGCCATATCAGCACATTCTGCTTGATCGTAGACGAAATCAGATAGCAAAGGGTAAATTGAAAAAATTTCAAAAAGTTTAGGTATCAAATTAAAATAAGCCAAAGTCTGGTGCCAAAATGATTTTCACATAATAGTTTGGAATATAGCGATCTCGGGTTTACCCTTGTTGTACAGAGATCCGGACAAGTGTCCGTGGATGTTAGTAGTTGTTTATTATCTTGTTTACATCCTTTTTACTTCGTATTTGGGTTATAAGATGTGTTGGGCGGATTTGTTTCAGGTTGGTTGAGTTTAGAAACCAAAACTAGTTGCCCAGATTTTGGCCTGTCCGCTCGAGCGGGGGTGTTGGCGCTCGAGCGGGGAATACACCCATCCAGTATTTCTTATGCAGTGTTGTACGCTCGAGCGTGGGTTTGGCCGCTCGAGCAGGGTTGTGTGAGTGCCGCTCGAGCGTAGAGTTGGGAGCTCGAGCGGAGGCCTGGTTCTGTAAAAGTGCTGGGAGAGTGCATCCGGCGCTTGAGCGGGACTTATGCAAGCTTCAACTCGGCTTGTTTACTAAACGAGTCTAATATTCGAGCTCGAGCTCTAGCACAGCTTGTTTAGTAATTGAACAAAACCGAATCCATAACGAGTTGAGCCGAGCTTGTTCATAAACTTTTCGGTTCATTTGCAGCTCTATACATAACGTGTCATAGTTAGTACATCAAAAGTGACGAGTCTAATTTTATTCACACATTTTATCAAAGCATGTGAATGTGTGTAAACAAAACACATGTTCGAATTGGTTTATAACAATAGAATCTAAAATTTTAGGTGAATTAAGATCCACAATTTTAAACCCACAAGATTATATGTTTTGTTCACACAAATTCATTTTCAAAAGCAACCAAAAAAAAAAAAAAAAAAAAAAAAAAAACAAAGAGTTTTGACAGCCTAAAACAATGGAAAAATAGTAGGAATAATAACCAAAAAAAAACAAAGCTACAAGCAAAGTCTTATACCTCTTGAAGAGAAAAGGCTATTCCAAGCAACAAAACCAAGTAAATACACCCTCTAGAGCTCAAACCAAGCTCAAGAATACCTCAACTCAAAGATAGAGAGATTTGGTTAAGAGTGTATAGGCAAAAGTTGAAGAATTATAGGCAAAAGTGTAGAGATTTGGTAGAGAGAGAGGAAAATTTTTGAGCTCAAAATTTTCTAACCCTAAAACAAGAGAGAGAGAGGGATCCTATATATAGAAAACATGAAATTCCCTCAACGAGATCCAGCCCTACACGTTGGGATAGATGCATGCATCTGTACAAACAGTTGGCATAACTGGCATAAAATATCTGTAAAATACACTAATGGCCGGCAAGCCACATCCGTGGCTGGCAGCCCAAAAGTGGTGGTCTGTCGCAGGCTGAAAAGGCTAGGCTTGGTCCAAAACTGAGACAACAAAGGTATAGGGTTTAAAAGGCTTAAAGTTGTGGCATTCCGCTGAGGACTTCGAGCACTTAGCGAGCAAATAAACTCATCATCGGGTGCGCAGCGCATGACGTCGTTGGGCCGATAAAGCCTCCAGATTCAGAGCGCCCTTTGTGGATATCACAATTGGCCAAAAAGTCTCCGGATCCGGAGCCCCCTCGGCGCATGACGTCGTTGGGCCGATAAAGTCTCCAGATCCGGAGCCCCTTCGGCGCATGACGTCGTTGAGCCGATAAAGTCTCCAAATTCAGAGCGCCCTTCATGGATATCACGACTGGCCAAAAAGTCTCCGGATTCGGAGCCCCCTCGGCGCATGACGTCGTTGGGTCGGTAAAGTCTCCGGATTCAGAGCGCCCTTCGTGGATATCACGATCAGCCAAAAAATCTCCGAATTCGGAGCTGCCTTTACGAATGACGTCGCTAGGCCAATTAAGTCTTCGGATTCGGAGCCGCCTCGGCGCATGACAACGCTGGGCCGATTAAGTCTCCGGATTCGGAGCGCCCCTCGTGGGTTCACGATTGGTCTCCGCATTCAGAGCCCTCTCGGCGCATGACGTCGTTGGGCCGATAAAGCCTGCAAACCAAAGCGCCCTCCAGGTTCACATCAAAGCAGGGATATGTAATTTGAGCCGACGCAACCGCATGAACAGAACAAAGCGTGCCAACACTCGAAATAAGATGCTTAACAAAAATTCACAATGAGATACAGACTTTTAAAATAAAATATTTTATTCGATTAAAACAGTAATTACAAAAACGAATCTGCGTTCGAGCATTACAATATCTATTTTCATACGGCGTCGCCTTCATTCTCACCCTTCTCAAGCTTCGAAGGCAAAAGAGGGGAAGTGGCCGTGTTGGTACAGCGACAACACCGAATCAACGCCCACTGCTCAGAGAGCGTCCGTAGCTTAAAATGCTTTGATCTGACCGCGCTTGGATCCACAATGTTCACACCAGCGAGACAATCACCCTCAAGGTAGAGAGCCTTAACACCATTGACAATGGCAAGGCCAAGATCCAGGACAAGAAAGGAATTCCCCACAAAAACAGTAAAATTCAACAATCGCGACGCTACGTCGACCTCATCCTTCCTTCGGGGTGATCTGCTTCGACGACCTGGAGGCTGACGTTTTTTCCGTTCTTTGAACGCCCCACCTCTCGCACAGGTGGGTTCTCTGCTGCGATTCATTGCAGTATTGAGCTCAGCCAAAGTTCGAGCCTCCCTTCTGCTGATGAAGAAAATTCACATTCGTTTGACCCCACGCAACAAAGTTGTTTTAAAGCGAGTCTGAACACAATAAGTGAAATTACTAGGGCAAAAAGTCCGAGGTAATTTATTTCTAATCCTGGCGGTGACCCCGAGGCGATTTCATTAATACTGAACCCCAAAAGACGGACGCCGGTAGATATTGGCCATAGCCGCTCCATATACTAATTTTTGGCTTTTTGGAGTTAAAATGGACTAATTATGACAATTATAGATGGGCTGACAGTTTCTGGATTCGAAGCCCTTGGAGCGTGACACCTTTGGGCCGATTAAGCCTCCAAATTCAGAGCCTAATCAGCGGATTGATCGTGCGTGAAACGAATGACATTTAACCAAGAATGCTCATGACAAGCCGGCATATAACCGTTCGGTATTAAATGCCTACTTAACTTAGGCCGAACAATGTTTATACAATGAAAATGTATGCAAACACGAGTGTGCCGAATGCAGGTTACAATAAAACATTTAAAATAGGACAATTTATTCAATTAGGCAATAACTACACAATTACATAGTATTTTTATTCGACCTCGCCCTCATCCTCACTCTCCTCGACTTCAAACGCGGAAAAGGGAAAATGATTACGTTGGTAGAGTGGCAGCGCCGAATCAATTCCCGACGCTCGGAGAGCATCCGTGGCTTGAGATGCCTTGATCCAACCGTGCTTAAAGCCACGATTTTCACATCGGCAAACTTCCTCAGCGAGTTTCTCTTTGGTCTTTTGAATTCCAACCAGTTGGCCGTTATGGAAACCTTTTTCATAGGCCACGCCTCTCGCAGTCTCAATCGCGAACATGCTAGCCATATTACAATCGGCGATCGCATCACTAATCAACCTTTGAATGACCCTTTCTTCGACAACCGGGTTGGGTTGGCCCGTTGATTGGGCCCCGACAGGCTTGATTTTCCTTAGCTCACGCTCGGCCTTCTCGGCACGAGCTTCTAACTTCTGAATTCGTTCATCTCTCTGTTCTATATCGCGGCGAACGGCGCGGAGACGCATGCCAATCTCACAAGCCGTGTACAGTCCCCTCACCGCCCCATGAACGCCTTCACGAAACACTTCGAAGTCCGGTCGACCTACTATCGACTGCTGAACTTCGGGTGGAAAAATTTGTCGAGCAAACTCGACTGCCACATTTGGATCTCGAATGATCGAATCCGCCTCCGTCATTGGTCTATTACCCACGAAGATCGCGAAACTCAATGGACGAGGAGTGGCATCGGATTCCCTTCCAGGACGGGACTGAGGAGACTTACGTTGTGACTGATTGTCCCTCCTAGGCGATCTACTTCGACGACGAGGAGATGGGTGTCTCACCCGATCCCTCAAAGTCATACCGCCCGTTCGTAAGGGTTCACCCAAGGTTTTAAAAAGCGGCCGCAACCGTTACGTAACGCCGTTACGTAACAGTTGTGGTGGTTGTCGCCACCCGTTACGGCCGCTTTTGCTGTGTAATTGAGATTCACAGGTGTATCGGCCGTAGCGGCTGCTATAGCGGTCGTAACGGTGCCGTAATGGCCGTAACGGCCTGTTACGCACTGTTACGTAACGGTTCCGAATTGCTTCTTTCGAAAAAACATGCCCAAAAAAAAAATTTGAAAATGGGGGAAGAGAGATAGAGAGAGAAGATGGAAGAGCAAGAAATAGAGAGAGAGAAGAGGGAAGATGAAGAACATGTTATTGATTTGTTGAAGCTATAAGACCTATGCTATTGTATTCAGCTGCTATCACTCAACCATTTTGTTTGTGTGTGTCTATCTATATATTGTTTGAAAATAATAATAATAAGTGTGGTCATTATCTATTTGATTTGATTAAAATATATATATATATATATATTTAGGCTTTTATTTATTCTCTTAATTTTGTCATTGTTTATCTTATATATAATAGTTAGTGATTGATTTTTTGTATAATATAAAGTTATTAATTATTAAAATAAAATGTAAAAAACTCAGTTTATAGTGCTTTAAAAATACGAAATATATTGGATCAAACTTTAAAATTTACAAAAATTGATCAATATTTATTTTAAAACCTAATAAAAATGATCATGGAAAAAAAAATGTGCGTATCGGTAAGTTTTTTTCAAATTGTGCGAAAAATAAAAAAATTCACGGTTCCGATTACCGCAACCGTTACGCTACGGCCTTTACACCCCGCAACCGCAACTGCGTCACCGCCATCGTTACGGCGACCGCAACCGCTTTTCAGAACCTTGGGTTCACCGCTTCGATTCATAACACCTCCCAGCTCAGCTAGTGTCTTCCTTTCACCTCTGCTATTGAAGAAAAGCTTATTTGACATTCACACTTGTTTAATCTTTCCTCAAAGAACGGGACTGAGATGCTCACTGAGCGCATAAATAGGACCCTCGTTCACGAAGTACACGCCTATTTATTCCCTACAAGGGCAGCATCTCCGAGGCTGTCTCATTAATATTGAAGCGCCAAGGGCAGATTAATCAATCTATACAGCTCGAGTGCCCCAACCGTTCCACGCGTCGATTATTCCGTACAAGATTCATTACGTGACAACCGCCGTTCTACGTTCATGAACCAGTTGGGGCAAGGGCAGATTAATCAATCTATACGGCTTGAGTGCCCCAGCCGTTCCATGAATCGATTTGCCTGAACAGTAATAAATTTATTCTATTTATGATTAAGTCAGATCTCGACGTTCTACGTTCATGAACCAGCTGGGGCTAGGGCAGATTAATCAATCTATACGGCTTGAGTGCCCTAGCTGTTCCATGAATCGATTTGTCTAAACAGTAATGAATTTATTCTATTTATGATTAAGTCAGATCTCGACGTTCTGCGTTCATGAACCAGCTGGGGCAAGGGCAAATTAGTCAATCAATACGGCTCAAGCGCCCTAGCCGTTCCACGAATCGATTTATCTGAACAGTAGTCATGAATTCATTCTATTTATGATTAGATCAGATCCCTAATTTCAATCAGCTGTTAAGTCTGCCGTCTCACGCAAGCTTGACATTTGGTTCTAACTGCTGATTCTCCTAACTATACACTCATACAGCAGACAATACGAGAAATAATTTGAGAGCATATAAAATTTTCATCCATAAACTGGGCGCTGGCAGTGGACATTTTACATATGAAAACTAAAAAACGTACATTGAAATTGAAATTGAATATACTTAATAAAAGTAGAATGTCTCCCAGATCAATCCTCAGGATCAGACTCAAATGGCTCAACGTCCACTTGCTTGTATGGAATTGGCACGGCCAATGTAACTCCAACGGCAGCAAGAGCTTTGAGCCACCTATGTTTGAATCCCCGATTCTCGAATTTGGGGATCTCGTCTACATATTCCTTGAAGGCGGCGCTCCTTCCAGCCTCAAGGGCCGTAGAAACTTCAGATTTGGCTTTTTCCTTGGCCGCTTTCAACTCCTTTAACTTGGCCTCTGCCTTGGCAAGCGCCTCCTTGGCTAACTCGAGTGATTCCTCGCTCGCGTTCGCCCTATCCTCGGCTTTGGATCTAAGCTTGTCAGCAGTTTGAGCCCTCTCATTTTCTGCTTCGGCTCGAGCATTTTCCATTGCGGCTATCATCGCCTCAAATTCGGCCCTGCTCCTTTCACCTTCAGCTTCAGACTTCAAGCGGCCAATTCTTTCAATGGCATCATGCTGACAGCGGCCTAGTTCGGCTATTCTTCCAACCGTCTTCAAAACAGGTTAGGATCATCACACCAAGGAATATCATATGCAAACCAGACCAAACGAGTAAAAAAGTGAAAATCGTACACATACCAGAAGGGCCGACTGGGCAGCGAACGCTATAGCCGCCAAATCCGACTCCTCTTGAAAGGTGGCCTTGTCAGCCGATAGTGAAACTGAGGCGGCCAAGCTCAACGCTACAGCCAGATCCTTCATGGCGGATGCGTCAGCAAAGATTGGCGTGTTTTTGATCTTTGGTTGAACAACAAAAGGAAACACGACATCGGACTCCTCTAAATGAGGCCGTTTGCCAGCAGGGCTATCCTCCGAGCCAACGTCTCCCTCGGCGTTACGTTTTTCGCCCCGCTCTTTCGGAACTAGTCGTTCTTCCGTAATCTACTGTTCGGCCTCCTTCTCCGTCTCATCCACAACAACTTGAGTCGTTTCCCTTCAGTAATGGGTTGTAAAGACTCAACCGGGGCAAGCTCAGAACGAGCGGCCTCCGCCTTTTTTCGAGCGGCCATTCGCTCGGCATTTCTCTTTCTCGCCATCTGCATGAGATTTTCCCCAGCCATGCCTTCAGAAAAATCCCCGAGTAGATCCCCCAAGTCTGTAAAAATATCTCCGAAGGAAAACTCTACCCAACCCGAAGTGGACGGTGAGTCAGGCTTGTTACGACCGGCAGCCTCAAATGCTCACCTCTGGGCTTCGTCGACCTCTTCGGCCTCGGCAGCGAACTCCCTGATTGATTTGGCGACTACCTCGATCACCGACTCTAAGTTTTGCTCCGAATCAGGAGTTTCAAGACCAATTTGCCTAAGAGACTTGAAACTAGGGAAGACAAGAGCCGTATGGTGTTGTTCGCCGGTTGGGATCAGAATGTTGTCTGCGGCCGAGAACGTAGTATAGGTAGGCTCATACTGCTGAAGAATGTGGGCGACTCTACCTTGTTTCTGTACGTTTGGACAGCCAAAGTACTTTAGTGCAGTCTTAATTTCCGCAAGGACTGTGTCGTCAGCCGAGGTCAGAACCTTCTTCAACTTATTGCCTGCAAAAATAGAGGATTAGATTTGGAAAAGGAACCGAATAAAAGAAGGGTCAACAAACAAGGAGTTACACGGCAACCTGGTTCACCCCTCCGTCTGGGAATAGGGTCTAGGCGATCTTCGCCTTCGCCGAATTCCCAGTTGCCTCGGACATTGGCCATTACATCGTCAACTCGTTTGCCAGAGCTGGCAAGCATCGTTACCAGATGATGGTCAGTGTCCTTGGCCCTGAGAAAGTAACGACCAAGCCGACCGGAGGATTTGGCTAAAGCGTAGCAGTGCCGAATCGCCGGAATGCCAAGGTTGATCCTGAGGCGCCGGTTCAACTCTACAATTCCCATCACGATTCAAAAGAAATTCACATTAGGTTGCGAGGGAATCAGACCCCAATGTCGGAGGACGGCCCTAAGAAATGGATGTAGGGGAAAGCGAACTACGCCCTCCGTAATGGATAGAAGAGGAAAGACGATTATATTTCGGTCGTCCCTCTCCATATCAGGGGAATTGTCCGTTAGTAGAGATAAATAGACATTATCAGGAATGGAGAAATGTCTCCGGAACCCAGAAATTCGATCCTCAGAGAGGAGGTCATTCAAATGCTTAGCCATTTTAGTGAGGACTCAAGGATATTCTAAATCAAAAAATAAATACGGAAAGTAGGATTGCAAAGAGAAGAGAAGAAGACTTACGAAAGGCAAAGGAAACAAGGAGAAGACGGACAGGAGTTGCAGAAAACGCCAGAGAAGAAATACTGATTGGCAGTCTGACCTAATTACATTGTTTGATTAATTGGGATAATTAATTGTGAGAAATGAGGAAATGAAATGGAATTGTTGAGATTGGGAATGTATAGGGTTAAAGGGTGTAGTTAAATTGTTTATCATACACCGAATTGAAATGTTGATTGAATATCCATTTGTGCATTTATTTCCTGTTTAGAAATAACTGCTTGGGCTATCGTTGGAGGATAGTCGTGATTGTTGTAGACAATGCATGATGATTAGGCAAACGAAACTAATCAATGGAATGTGTCATGGAATTTGACGGTTGATAGAAAACATTAATTATATGTATTGAGATTGTATATAGAACCAATGTGTTTGTATACGTTATGTGTATAGGAGGAGATGGGGGATGTACTCCGCGGTTTAGGGGAAGATGGGGGATGTACCTCTAAACCGGATAGTGTTGGGAGAAGATAGGGGATGAACTCCGTAAATACAGCTCATATGCTTGTCTAGAGAAGTGAAGATAGAGCTCATATGCTTATCTTTGTGAAGTGTGGATACAGCCTATATGCTTATCTGTGAATGTGGGATATTGTTGTTATACATATCTGTTGCGAATGTGGATATAGCTTATATGCTTATCTGTGAATGTAGGATATAGTTTTTATACTTATCTATTGAAATAATGATAGAGCTAATATGCTTATCTGTTGAAAAAAGGAAAAATGAAAAGTAACTTGGACTCATAAGTCGAATGACATAAATATGAGATTTATGTGAATGTATCAATGTTGGCCATCTATAAATTGCTAATCTTTTAGTCATTGTTCATGGTTGGTTTAGTGTATTTCTACTGGGCTGTGGCTCACCCTATATGGGAATATCATTTTCAGGTACAGAAAGTATGCCACCTCCAAGGACATAGCTTGGGAGGCTAGAGGCGGACATACTTTTGTCGTTTTACTTTTGATGTATTACATGTAAATTCAAGCCAAGGGCTTAACAAATAAAAGATAAAAAAATATTTAAATTAAAAAAAAGAGATAAAGATTGAGATATAAATATTCCAAAAAGATGATAATTTTTTTAGCGAACTATATTTATCTTTTGTTAGTTTGTTATAAAATTCTCATATATTTTAGCTTAATCTTTTAAAGTTTATCTTCAAGCTGAACTTAATATTTTATCTTTTAAATCATCAATTAATTATCCATATAAATTTTAAATATGATAGAATTCTATATATATCTTTTGTCTAAGTATAACCTTTTCAATATATAAACAAACACAAAAACATGGTTCTGGTTCCAAACTTTCGGATCAAAACGAGATTTTTCTTCAAGAACACATGAATACTATTTTTCTTTTCCAAAACCAACTTCAAATCGATGCATGACATGCAAAACAAATCGATCATGCAATGCAGCTAGATGATCAATAATAACAACCAGAGTAGGTTGTTGAATGCTATTGCTTTATTCAATGCTTATATTTGGTTTAGTATATTTCTACTGGGCTGTGGCTCACCCTTTATGGGAACATCATTTTCAGGTTCAGGTGATAAGCTACCTCCAAGGACTTAGCTTGGAAGGACTTGGATTTTGAAGACTATTTTGAGTTATTTGTTGTTTTTTTATTGTTAGTACATGTAAACACTCAAGCCTAGGGCTTTATTTGTATTTGAGTTAGAACTCATACTTTGTGTCCAAGTGTTGGCTTGGAAAGATGTAAGCCGGTAGGGCATTTACTTTGATGTTACATGTAATGCTTTTGTTTAGTAAGACTCTGATGGATATTTTAATGAATTATTAAAGTGTTTTCTTTAAATAATGCATGTCAATGATATATATAATGGGTATATTTTTTAGGGCATTACAAGTCTAACTTAAAATTCATGGGTTAGCTCTAACTTACTGCAACAAACTTGAAACCTAACTTAGAATTCAGGGGTTAAGTCGATGCATATTTTTGTGATTAAGTTGGTTCAAAACTTAAGTTAATCTTCACTCATTTACAAAACTTGGATGCCTTTTAGACATCAAAACCCAAGTCAAAGTATGAGACTATGCGAGTGTTTGGAAGTGGGTTTTTTTGTAGGTTTTTTTAGTTGTAAGATATTATTGGAGAAAATTTCTTTTGTGTTTGGAAAAATAGTTAGGCTTTTTTGTGGTTGGATGTGATGTTTGTTAGAGAAAAAGTGAAATGATTATGGGCTTTGATGTGATATTTTGTTTGGATTTGTTTTTTTGGTTTTGTAAAATCACTACAAGAAATAACAGTTTTGGCTACCAGAATATTAGTCGCCAAAGGTCAGACTTTTAGTCGCTGATACCATTTAGCGACTAAATTTTTTTGTCGCCAAGTTAGTCGCCTAAACCCCGTCGGCGAATATTTTAGCGACTAAACGCGTGTTTGGTCGCTGAAAGTGCAACATTTGGCTACTATTTTTTTAGTCAGCAATGTTACCTTTTAGCTACTAAATTTTATTTGGTAAAATTTCTTTTGTGTTTGGAAAAATAGTTAGGCTTTTTTGTGGTTGGATGTGATGTTTGTGAGAGAAAAAGTGAAATGATTATGGGCTTTGATGTGATATTTTGTTTGGATTTGTTTTTTTGGTTTTGTAAAATCACTACAAGAAATAACAGTTTTGGCTACCAGAATATTAGTCGCCAAAGGTCAGACTTTTAGTCGCTGATGCCATTTAGCGACTAAATTTTTTTGTCGCCAAGTTAGTCGCCTAAACCCCGTCGGCGAATATTTTAGCGACTAAACGCGTGTTTGGTCGTTGAAAGTGCAACATTTGGCTACTATTTTTTTAGTGAGCAATGTTACCTTTTAGCTACTAAATTTTATTTGGTCAGCAAAAATAAATGTTTTGGCTACTAAATTATTAGTCGCCAATAGTCAATTTTATTTTTTAAAATTATACATTTACCGAACAATACTCAAGGAATCGGCGACCAAACCTTTTAGTCGCCAAAAGGTCATTCGTGAAAAAAAAAAATTACATTCACTAGCTTCTCATTTGCTCTTGTGGAGATTCAAACCATCAACCTCCTACACCATAAACTTTATACAACACAATCTTTCCACTACACCTCTATAACACCATATGATTATATATGTAACATATATTATTTATATAGTACATAGACTCATATTAATATAAAAGTATATATATAAATATAATTTTTTTATTGAACATAATTTATGTAAAAATAAATTATTTACTAGAAAAAAAGAGACCACTTTTGGCGACTAAACTTCTTTTTAGTCGCCAAAAAGCCTCACTTTTGGCTACTAAAATTTTATTTGTCGGTAAAAGTATCACATTTGGCTACTAAACATCTTTTTAATCGCCCAATCCCTCACTTTTGGCTGCTAAATTATTTTTAGAAGCCAAAAGCCTCACTTTTGGCTACTAAAATTTTTTTAGTCGGTAAAAGCATCACATTGGGCTACTAAACATCTTTTTAGTCGCCCAATGCCTCACTTTTGGCTACTAAACCATTTTTAGTAGCCAAAAGCCTTACTTTTGGCTATTAAAATATTTTTAGTCGGTAAAAGCCTCATATCGGCGACCAAACAGATTGTTAGTCGCCAAAACCTATACTTTTGGCTACTAAATTTTTTTAGTCGCCAAAAATTTTACTTTTGGCTACTAAATTATTTTTAGTCGCCAAAACCTATACTTTCAGCAACCAAAGGTGCTTTTTTAGTCGCCAAAGATTCTTTTTCTTGTAGTGAATATTTGTCTTGTAGTGAAAACAAAAAACAAAAAAAAAAAACCCAAATTTTTTTTTTCCCAAACACCGCCATGCCATTTTTCTTTGCTAAACATGTCATCAAATCCTTTTGTAAAAATAACATTAAAATGTGTATTTCATTTATCATTAAATGGATTATTTGTGACAACTTTGGGTCATACAAATCTGATATTGTGTTGTGTCATAATTGAGTTCTTTTAAAAAAGAAATCACTACTAACCAGTAAACTTCATGTACAATTCGTATTGTATAAAAAATTCTCATTCCTAATTCTACTAAGAAAATTTCATTTTTACCCCTATATTTTTCCTCGATGATCAATTACACCCCAGACTTTGAATAATTTCAATTTTATCCCAAACTTTTTGAAATCATATCAATTGGGCCACTACCGTCAGATTTAAATGGAAAAGGTTAAAAAAAAAATTACATTTTTACTCCAAATTCCAAAAGAAATATGCAAACTCATCCTCTCTTCCTCTATCTCATCATTTCCTTAATTACCCAAATCCCTCCACCACTCTCCTCCTCTTTCCTTTGCCAACATCTTCTCCACCACCAACACCATCACCAAGAAACCCTTTGCTCTTACACACATCAAACCGCCACTGAAAACCCATCATCTTCTTCCTCAAGAAATCTCTGAAAATTGATTCCTAGAACCAAACCCTAGACAACCTAAAATCCTAAACACCATT